TCCATTAAAATGTGATAGTGCTGGTGTGTTTATTATTGAAGACCAACTCTTAGTGTTCCTATGAGAGTTAACCTTTGAACACTTAAAACCTTTTATAGTAAAATCATGACAATAAAGTATCACCAATATAAAGGTGTATAGAGTTACTATCAGACTATTATTATGTGCTTTGATTGTATTAATCTTATTGTACTTAATGCTTTGAGCCGTGTTTGATAAAACCCGATTTTTGTTGCTTTATTAGATTCCTTCATGGAGACCATTGATAGCATGAGGTCACAGTCTCCACTACCAAGCCCACGATCTCGCCGCCTCCTCTCCGCCCGGAGCTCCCCTAACCTGGCAAAGAGCGTTAGTCGGAGTGACTTCAGTGATGAAGAGGATGATGATGATATAATGGACCTGTCCACTGTCCCACGTTCCCATCCAACCCACCCCTCCCCTCTTGCCTCCCCTCACTTATCTTACTCTCGTCTCTCCCCCACTCACAGTCAAGGCTATAGCTCTGACGAGGAGTCACTCTCGCACACTCTCTTGTATGATGGACGTCGTAAACGCTCGAGCAAAAGGATCCGTTATTATAGCTCTGACGAGGAGTCACTCTCGCACACTCTCTTGTATGATGGACGTCGTAAACGCTCGAGCAAAAGGATCCGTTATAACAAGGCACTTCATCCTCTTGTGAGGGTTGATAGTGCTAGCAGTGACGATGGCTCATTCAATGATAAACACTTGCGTCATAGTCTACTGAAATTTGGTAAAGATAAGCTCAGAAAAATGCTACCATATCGGAGCACTCCTTCTACTCCAGCCGAGGGGAGTGGCTCTGAAAGCTTCACTGATATGTTTGTATGAGAAGTAGCAGTGGGGGCGGTAGGCCGAGATGCAATTCAGCCAGAACTGATAGTAGCCTGAGTGATACTAACGAATTGTGGTTTCAAATCCACGAAAGACTTGAACTTAGTGATGGAGAAGAACTGGATAAACCTGATGAGCCTGTTAGCGATGATAAAGAGGGCGTGGCTAAGAATGGTCAAGCGCGTAAAATGAACAGCCCCTTGACTGAGTCTGCAATATGCTGTTTGTTATAGTGACCCCACCCACCCACTGGTGTCTCATGTTTCTTCATTATAATTATGATTATGTATAATTATCAGCAATTTTTGTTCATTTATTATTGATTTATTATTAGCAGCAATAATATTATTATAATTATATCGAATGAATGATCCACATTATTGAGAGCTTGAATAGGGTTAGTTTAAATGAAAAATTAATGCTCTTCCTCTTATCTATGTTTGCTTGGCTCAAATGCTTCAGTGTAGAATTGCATCATTTTTCTTTAATTGTGTTTTGCATTGCAGCTGCATAGTCTATTATGTAGAGGTTATGTATGTACACAGTATATAATTATGATCGGGGTACAAATGACTCTTAGGCAGATTGTGCTGTCTGTCATTGTTATTCTTAAGGAGTGCACTATGATC